GGATCAGCACGTTCCGCCTGCTCATGGACACAAAGCCGGCCGGGTCCGTTCTGCTCCCTCAGGCATCGGAGCTTTGCAGCTCGTAGATTTGAGTGGGAAGGGACATCAAAGATCATGCAGTTCCGACCCCCTGCCATGGGCAGGAATACCTTCCACTATTCCAGGTTGCTGAGAGCCCCATCCATCCTGGCCTTGGACACTTCCAGGGATGGGGCATCCACAGCTTCTCTGGGCAACCTGGGCCAGTGCCTCGCCACCCTCACAGGGAAGAATTTCTTCCCAGTATCTGTTAGTTTAAGGCCCAGCTCACCCCACTGCAGGGCCTTGCTACACCTGGCCCAGTGCAGTCAAAATAAGTATTTCTAGTTGTTGTTTACAAACGGTGAAGCAGCCGTGCTTTTTCACCAAAGGAATACACAAGCTATTAATTGCAACAGCTGCAGCGTTTAACATGTCTTATGTGTTCTGTACTCTGAAGCGTTAACAAAGCTTTTTACATAAGAAGCATTCTTCATATGCAAGCAATCTCTGCTTGTTCCACTGTTGCTATTTTTAATTTGCCATGGTGACCCCTCACACCAGGGACTGGGTGGTTCAAGTAGGTTAAACAGACACCAGATCAGCTTGGGGAAATTGTACAGTCCTTTGGCCCTGACTACAAGGGGTGGTGGGCTCAGCACTTGCTCTAAGGATAAGATTTTAAAAGCGAAATTATTAAGTGATGCTTCCACTTTTCCATAATTCATTCACTTCAATCTTTTTCACATAAAGTAAATCCTACTTTACTCTTTTGAAACCCAGATTTTTAAAGTTGCATGTTTAATTTATCTCTAAACACAAGATGGCAGTATTTTATGTAGTTTAACTATTGAATACTGGGAAGAGCTATAGATATTTTATAATACCTAAATCAGAGATGGTGGAGGAGTTGACGCTTTTAACAGAACTAATGGAAATTACAAATTCATTTATATTGCAAATCTGCTCGTGGAAGGCATTCTGCAAGCATGGCTTTTAGGGCTTGCAAAGTCTAGTGGAATCACCAGATTGTACATGCAGGTGTTTGAAAATGCAGTGTAATAACACTGAAATGGAAAAATAATAATTTTCTCACTGACACCAGTAATATGTTTAACGTGCACATACACAGACAGAAGCACTGTGATGAGCCTAGTGATGCATGTAGGTTGGATGGACAACATTTTAAATTTTATTCTGGAAGTCTGGCGTATTTTGAATGCTGCTTTGATTACTAATATGAGTAGTTTTCTCATTATCATTTTCTCCCATGAGCAAATTGTGTAAACCATAATTTGAAATATGAAATCATTTTCCTTGAGCAGATGAAAAAAATGTCATTCCATAGCAAAATAGATGAGGTTAAACTTTGGCTGGACTCATGATGCATAATCTTCAAAAAATTTTGTGGTATAGGAAAGCCCCAGCAAACCTGAGATTCAAAACCAAGATCTGTGTGTCTAATAAACACAGATATTCTTCCTCAGATTGAACACTTTAGTTTTTCCCAACAGCCATTTATTTTGGTTTTGCACGTTGGAAATGCAACTTACTCTTTTTTAAAATTGTGAAGAAAAAGGTAAGTAAGAAACTGAGCCAATTAGATTATAATTTAATAAAGTACTTGGGATCTTCCCACTTCATAGGCAATAACACTTGCAGAAAAAGAGAAATGTAGGTTTTGTGATATTTTGTGGCTGGCTGGGAAAGCCCAGACACCCATGAAAGCCCAGGAGTGTTATGTTGCTGTGGCTGATAACTTCAGACACACGTGCCCCTGCCTTGTTAGCGTGCAATTCTGATGGTTGTGGGAAAGAAAGTGTAGCCTGCAAGTGTCTTGTCACCTTAGTCATGAAGAGTTAACTCCTTAGAAATCTTTCTCTCCTCACTCTTGTTTTGTTGCTCAAATAAATACTCCTTATATTTTCTTCTAGACACTCTGATGTAAAGGTTTCTTCAATGAATTCCAAATCTTTGTGCTTCTTGCACAAGATGGGGGCTTTTTGCCTTCAAACTAAAAATGGTTGACTCTTTCTTCATCTATCACTAAACTTTGCCAAGAAAGAGAATTTTGAGACATCTAGCAGCCCTTGAGGGTCTGCTTCACACGCTCCAGTGTCCAGCTTCTAAAACTGACACGAATAAGAAAGGAACCTTGTCCACTAAAGAGTTGTAAGCCTGGCACCAAATTTATTATTGTACCAGACCAAGCAAGTGCCAGAGAGCAGAGCAAACTGCCCCTGATCCCCAGGCAGCCCTGCTTTTCTGCTGAGGGACAAATCAAGGGACTTGTGAAGTTTTCAACCTCTGACCTGTAGCCATAAGTTGTCTATCATGGGGGGATGTGCACTGACATCAGAAATGAGCAGTGAAACATAATTCTGATATTTTATCACTGGGGGAAGTTACGGTCCCTTTGCTGCCCTCACTGGCACTTCTCCAACAGCCGAGTTCCTCCATCAGCTGCCAGCAGCAGAGATGGGGTTTTCTCCCCCATCTTTACCACATCTTCTGCTTTCCTGCAGTCCATCTACAACCTTTGCTTCTTTAGCCATGAAGAGCACGACATGTGAGACTCACTCAGCCATTTCAGAGCCTTACCTTGCTCACCACTGACAAGGCATTGTCCTTGTCCACCCTTCTCTCTCCCAGCCAGCCCAGCTCTAGGATGTGACCCCCCCCCAACAACAGCCTTAGAGGCATTACAGGAACCTGCACCCCAAACAGGCTCTGGCTGCAGTTGCTCACCAAATGTAGATCTAGAGAGATTTGGTTTGAAGTTCCTCTGAAAAATATTTAAAGATGAAGCTGAAAAAATTTTGAGTGCCCCCTTTTATTGAGAAGTTTACCTCGTGCAGTTATGATATTTTAGGCTGCCTGTTGATATGACAATCAGCAAAATCTCAGCAAAGTCACAAAGAATCATAGACTGGTTTGGGTTGGAAAAGACCTTTAAGGATGATCTTGTCCAGCCTGCCTCCTTTGGGAAATTCCTTCTACCGTGATAGTGGCTGCTGAGTTCTCAAGTTTATCTATGGTATTTTCCAAGCTATTTATTTCCTCCAGTTTCCATAAGTGCATGCTGAAAGGATGCATTCTCCTCAAAAGACTCTTACCATAATTCATAAGATTATTATTTGTGAAAACAGTTTAAACGTGAAGTAACAAGCATCCATTTCATTTTGCTGTAAGTTGTAGTCTGTGTTTACTGGATCAATAGGAAAGCAGAGATCTGGTTGTATAAAGAAACAGTGAATTCAGCTTCTCTAGAAGTTGTGAGGAGATTAACAGAAAATCATGTAATATTTTCAATGCCTTTTTTTTTTAATAATGCTGATAAAACAATTATAGAAATGTCAAAGGAGCTGCCCAAGCTACAGAAGAAATAATCATCAAAGTTATGGTTAGGATATAAGCATAACTGTGTCTGTGGTTTGTGACCAGAGCTCATAGGATCCTCCCTGTTTGTTAGCTTGTGCTTGTATTTTAAACAGTTCAAGTGAAACAGCACTCAAAAGATAAATTAATTCCACAGCAATGCACGCTCTAATGACTAAATACAACCTTTATTATAGAAACACCAGTAATAGAAAAATAAAGAGCATATCTTACTTCTCATATCAAGTTATTTTTAGCAACCATACATTATAGCAAGCTAAAAGTGATCAACCAAACCACCTTCAGACACTCCAGATGCTGATCTACATCTCCCTTCCTCTTTCAGCTGAATTAACAGCTGTTCCCTCACTTGGACTTGTCCATCAGAGAACAAAAAGGACTGAAAGAAATTAAACCTTGCTTTATAAACTCCTTGGAGATTTGGCTAAGTATGACATCGTCATGCTGATGGGATGTCCTTGTGTCTGCCTTGGGAGTTGGGATGGGATGTTGATTAGCAACTGGTCACTCTGGGACCCACTGCAGCCTTGTCCCCTCCCACAGCAGACAAAACTGTGCCCTTCTGCCCACAGTGTGACTATTATGGCCCACCTAGTGTACAACTAGTTTATCATAAGAGCTCTTTTCCTACTGTGCTTTTAGGGAGTTTTTGCTCAAAATCTTTCCTCAGACAAGATATTTGAAAGAGCAGGTCTGGCAAGAGCAAGGCCCATTAGCCCTATAGAGTCTTCCCAATGGGAAGAAGACCTCAAGGCAGCTCCATTAGATAAAAAAGTACCAGCTAAACATCTACCTAAATTCAGGCAGAAAATAAATACAGGCATCAGCTTTTAAAGCTGCACATGGCAGCTCAGGGAGCAGCTGGGCTGTCTAATTCTAATTTAGCATTAAATTTGGAGAGGCAACATTCCCTGTTCTGCTGGTGTGCTGACACACATCCCTGCTGCAGGCTGGCTGTATTTTGTGATCAGGAAGACGTGACGGGATGCAGACTGGGCCACAGGTGGGAGAAAGGTTGCACTTAGGGGCTGGGATCTCCTGATGCAGTAAGGAATTCTCCAATGGATCTTCTACTACTGTGAAGCACTAACTCCATTGGATTAATTTTGCTGCATGTTGGCAGCATTTCCTGGGAGCATCCTGTTGTTTCATCAGTTTGTATCACGTGCACTTCTCCTGTGACATTTAGAGCAAGCCCAGAGTGTTATTCATCTAGAAAGGGCTATGCAGCTTCATAAAAATAGCAAACAATAGCAATAAAAAGCATAAGAACAAATCTCGTAAACCTGAATCTGAACATTGTTCAATAACACCAGGTTGATTCAGTGTAGAAATAAAAAAAGTCCGGGGAAAAACATTTATCTTGCATCACTGGTAATGCCAGAGGGTGTCACAAGATTAAACATAGAATTAGCAGTCATTAGGAACAGTTTTCTCTCTTCATCCTGATATCAGATTTTAAAAGACTGAATATTAACATAAAGGGATTTTTCAGAACAGAACAAGCAAATATTCCATGTCAGCAGAAGAAACACACTACAGATCATGCAACTCAGCAATCCAAAGAACATGTGAAATACGACTTAGCTTTGAGTGGGAGAGGTTTATTGATCACTGGGCAGAACAGCTTAGGGTCAGACCATTCTGAGCTTTAAACTGAATACAGTTAAATCACTGTCTCCCTATTAAAGGTTGGAAAGTTTGGTATCCCATTGCTTGTGCTACTTTACCTTATAAACGTACTCTTCTGCCCCTGTGCTCACAGCTGCTTCTGACTTCTCTCTGATGTTTCTCCAAGTGCAAAAGTGCTTCGGAATTGTCTTTATCTTTCTCATTTATTGGTTCATTCAGATTCAAAGGGAATGTTTTTTGGAGACTTAATTATTTCTACAGCTACACATTATACTGATTATGGAACAGTATGACCATGTTTCCTACTTCACACAGACCAACATCTTTTAGTAATTCATGGAATGAAAATATTTCCTTTCATTCTCAATTTAAAGAAGTCAACTCACAATCGTTAAATACTAGTAAAATTTCAGAACTGTTTACAAATACTTAAGGGAAATTAAACTGACAAGATACAATGACCAGTTTTACCCAGTGAAAATCCAGTGAGGTTGCATCGTCATTCACAACTGCTCAGGATTTGGGCCATTCTTCATTGAAATGAAATTAGCTCATAGCATTTATATTTTGTTTAGATACAGATTAAACTAGCAATGTATTTTTGCATATGATTTCAGTCTTTCTTTTGTTTAATGAGTACCATTCCACAGTCCTTTTCCAGGCCAAACTTTTATTAGTAAAATTTAAGCCCTTACCCTAACTCCTTAGGGGGAGGAGTTTAATGTTATTTTCTCTTTTGCAAATAGTTTTGTATATAATTTCTTATCATTTGGACATCATTGGCTTCAGTGAGCAGATTGTATGGTGTGTGCACATGCATGTATGTGTGTGTGTGTGCACATTTGCTTTGTAAATCTCCTTTGTAAACAAGGAGCTTTTCCTTTTTACAACAAAGAACATGAGCTGGACTTAATCTCAAAAGCAATTACTACTCTCATGCCTTCATCATCGGTTTAGCAGGAAATAAACTGCAGAGTGTATCAATTAATGTGCTTTAAAGCAACTCCAAATTATTTCCACATGAAAATCCAGCATGCTGGATAACATTCGCTTTTGGACAGAGAATTTGTCCAAGGGCTGTGCAAGCTTTTAGCTCTTAGAGAAGCCTTAAACATACAGTGTCAGTGGATTTCCATTTCTCAGGGACCTCGGGCAGATCTGCCACAATGGTGGTCACTGAATCCCAGGCATTTCCAATGAGTGTGGCATCTTCCCAGATTCAGAGATCCCAGTGCTGCCATCTCAGAAGAGGGGCAGTTACTGGGCTCAGTGGTGGTCACTGTAACAGGTCCATGTCTGAACAGGACATGGGTGGTTCGTGAGCTCTCACAAGACTGTGACATATTCAGCTCCAGAGTAAGAGTCACGTATTACCACTGTGCCTTTGCAAAGGGCTTAATAGGAAAAAACCCAAGCACTTAGGAAGTGTAACTCTTTGTAGGACTGCTGAGAACTTGCTTGTGAATGGAGTCACACTGACACTTACCCTGAGATTTTGGCACACACAGTGTTCCCACAAGGCTTTCATTGAGCTTTAATTTAACAGGGTTGTCTGTAGCTCTGGATCTCTGCTTTATTCATTTGAAAGTCATATCACCAAACTTATATATTTTAATAAATCTAAATATTATAATTAACAAACCTGATGGATTTTCTTGGGGATACCAATACTGCTTTAAGCTATTTCTAGGAATCTGACTTAGGTGGTCTGAATTATCTCCTTTGTTGATAACACAGAGAATTTAGGCTCCTCATTTTGGTCTTCTGGGCTACATCTAAATTAGATGCTAAGAATAGCCTAAAGTAGAGGATGTGAGTTGTCTCCTTCCTACCCTAAAGAAACTACTTGCAGAAATATTCATTAGATTTAAACACATGGTGTCATCTCACTTAAAAATGTGGCTTCAGGGCAGTGAGATTGCCAGGCAGAAGCTAAAACTCCCGTGACTTCTCTGCTTGCTACACCCATTTGGAAGTACAAGGGCACCTCAGATGCGCTCGTATCCTCTATGTGGCTTCCTCCTGGAAATCAGGAAAGTAACAAACACAATGACAAACAGCCCCAGGATACTCAGGCCCACTGCGATGGGAGCTGCTTTGCTGCTTCTGTCAGGAAAACATTCTTCTTCTGAAAGGAAAAGATCAGAGACTGTGTTATAGCAGAAGACTGTACCCTGAGACTATACATCTATATTCCAGAAAAGTTAGCAAATACAAGACAGATGTTCTCAAAACATTGTTTTCTTTTGGTTTTTTCTTTCTTTTTCTGAGCTATATTTTATACATTTTTATCTGTGGTGAACCTTATCTCAAGAAAACCATCCTTGCCCCTTTCACAGTAGTTGCATGCTTCACTAGAGAGTGACTCTACTCCCTCGTGTCTGTGGGAATTGTTTTGCCACTCAGCGCACACACACACAGCAGAGCTTTCTTGCTGGTAGCAGATGGGGAGCATCACACCACAAAATGCCAGTCTAAAAATAAAGAGCAGGACACATCCTGCATGGTCAAAAACTGCTCCTCATCTAATCTGCCCAGCAAAAAGGATCAGGCCAGAGAAGGGAGCCCATAGTCCAGCACATCATTAGCGCAGCAAGGATCCTCATTAAGTCAGTGTTTCCTAAGAAAAATCAAATTCTGATTATTCTCCCAGTTAATTCAGAATATTTGTGGATCGTAGGGTCTGACTCAGGGCATCGTGGTCAGATAAACCCTTCAGTATATCCTGGCTGAGCAGTGAATCCAGTTTATAGACAGGGTATGAGGGAGATCCAACTCCCTCTGCCCTTCTCACTCCCTGTGACTATTCCAAGGCAGGTTTTGACAGCACTCTCAGATAAAAGCCCCTGTTGTTATTCCAGTGACTATGCTGGCACAGATTGTAGCTTGGCTTGGGCTTCTCCACCATGGGAATCTTTACACTGACAGTGGGCAGTTTGCCCAGGGAGCATGTGGAGTACATGACATCATGTCACAGCTCTTCCCAAAAGCTGATCCACTTCTTCTCTAATCCAGATGGTGATGCCACAAAGTCAAAGGCATCAACACTCTACTAGATGTTGCCTTTTAAAAGCTTTGTCTGGTTAATATAACCTGTTGTTAAATGAGATTAAAAATATTTGCATTTAAGTATTGTAAAAGCCAGAGATGTTTGAATTGGCCATTTTTCTTTGATGAAACCTTGGGCTATGAACTCTAGGAATTGTTTCTGATATACTGAAATACAGTTCAGAAGGCACTTCTAAACTTTCCAGACTCTAAGAGGCCAAGCTATTGATGTAAACTGCTGCAGTCTGTACAAAATTGTAAGGAACTTGAAACCAGTGACCATTAATGTTTTCTTTTTCTTCCCCTTTTAAAGATAAGCACATCAGGAGCAGCAGAAGTGAAACTATGAGTCTTGAGACACCCAAGGGAGGTGGCTGGTGATGTATTTAGAGCCATTCTTTCAGTGGGGATTTTCTCTATCAAAATCTGCATACACAGCCAAGGTATGTAACAGTTTCATGACTATTTCACAGCCACTGGGGAATTATTTCAGAAGTGAGAACTGGTTGCTCAGCTCTCTGATTAGGAGCAAAACTAATTTAAATTTGTATATGGTATTGGTTAGCAGAGATTAGCCTGATCTTGGAGACAGAGAGAGAACATCTTTCTCAACTCAGTCTCTGCTAGAGGTGAGGCCATACCAAATCCCATAACTGAAATCACTCATTGTACAAAGCTGAATGGGAGTGTAGAGACCAGATGGGATATCATGAGTTGTTCCAGCTCAGTGTTATCCCATGAAAAGATTCTTCACAAGAATGAGAGCATAAATTGGGTTCTCAGTGTGGCTTTTAAAAGGTCTGTATATTAAAAAAGCCCCAAGTGTCATTTCCCATTATATTCCTTTTAGAATGAGAAAAGCAGCCAAAATGGTGACCTAACAGAAGAAGAATTGGTCAAACACAGCCAAAGTGAGTCAAAAGACAGATCTAAAGGAGAAAGAATACAGGGGCAATATTTTGTAAGCATGCAGAGAAGCAAGTGTCAGAAAAGGGAGTGTTTTAGTGCATCTGAAGGGCTGGAGAGCTAATCAACCCCTCTGTTCACCTGAGTTCTTGAATGGAAATAACCTGAGAGGAAGTGACAAAAATGAGAAGATGTACAGTTTGAAAGAGACAACAAGGTTCCACCTAGTCCACCTCTCTGATCTGTCTTTTACTAAGAGACCTGGTTGTCTCTTTGTGGTGCTTCTCCAAGAAAAGACAAAGTGCAGAGATGAGCATCACATTTAATTCTGAATCTCTGAGTGTGCTAATTGTGATCCTCCTCAGGAGCACATTTTGTCACATCTAGACACAGCTGCTCTGAAAGTATCATCCTGCATTCACAAATATCCCTTATTAGTTGGCAGTTCTGCTGCTGCAGCTGTGAGACAACCTGAGTGTCAGGAGCTTTTAAAAATAGCTAAAATATGACTATATTGAGAACAGTGACCTGGGACTGAACTGTAAAGTTGGGGTTTTGGCAGTGCACTGGTGGTGAACACCTCTGCTTGCTCTGGGAGAAAATGGGTGAAGAATAAAATTCTGGCTGTAGAGTTGAACATTTTTCATAAGAAGGTGAAACAGAAGGTACTGAATGCAGGAGGGAAAGATACTTTTCTATCCTCCATAGGTATTAGCACTGTGTTGGAAGTGACTCAGAAAAGTTGAGAATACAGCAGCACACAGGTTACATTATTTGGGAACAAATACAAAACTGTGACTGTGCTGTAGCAGGATCATCCCCTGTGTATGGGTATAATTTAGCAGATATATCTATCAGGCTGTCAGAGTGCTGACATGTAGATCTTGGAAGGGTGGAAAGGTATCCTTCTATTTACCTTTTCCAAACTGGTTACCAACAATATCAAACGCCTGCAGCTGCATATGAACAAAGAGGATCTGGAAGTTCTTCTCCAAGGTGAAGGTTTGCCTGCTGGCACACTTAAAGGAATTCCCCAGCTTTGTTGTAAACAGCTTCTCATTTAGGGCTGCATAGTAGAACATACCTGGAGGCCAGAAAGAGGCAAATGAGAATTCAACTCACTGTGTTGGAAGCAACAGGGATAAAATGAAGGATCCCCAGTTGCTTTGTCAGAGCAGGAGTCACTGATGTGACTAAAGCATGGATATTTTCCCCATAAAGTATGATTTATATTTTTTCAAGTTTAAATGAGTGCTTTAAGTATCAATGGGTGACTCAGCTGAGGTTGGGTCTAAAAAAGTGACTAAAATTTCAGGTGCTCCTCCAAATCATATTTTAACAACTTGAGTCTGCAAAGGGGTTAGAATTCTCTCAGGAGCATGCAACTATCTTAGGTCTCCAGCACAGTTATTTCCAAACAAAAAAGAGATACCATCTCTAGCATGGGAGTTTGACATAACTGGTCTGTATTACTTTATGTATTAAATATGTTTTTAAATATATTTCAGTGTCACAGTACTTTATGAAAAATATGGCCCAAGGTCCAAGCATGAAAAGATTTTGTGACCTGCTTATATTCTTTATGCACATCCTCCTTTGGAAGCAGATAGGCCAGTTTAAGACAAAATCATCCATATCACCATCTCTGCTTCAGCGTATCTCAACCACATCTTGCCAGCACATCATGTGCAGCATCCTCTTGGTCCTCTTCAGTCAAAATCAGAACGCCAGTGTCTGCTGGTACAGTTAATTCAGTCATTTTTATATTAAAAAAGTTAGGGACTTGCTCACTGCAAAAATACTGCAGTGTGAAATGGCAGCATTTGGCAGAGAGGCAGTGACAGACATCCAGGGAGAGCAATGTCTCTTGTCAGCACCACTTTGGGGGACACAAAGTATAGCTGAGGATTTTAAAACGTGATTAAATTGATCAGTTTATATTTGCTGCAATTTGCATTTAGCAATGCACAGGAAAATGATGGTCATTTAGACTGAGAACATTCCTTGGAGACATCCTCTGGATCAGCTTTTCTTTTACTTTCATTCCTACAGATCAGAACAGACTCCACTTGAGTTAATAAAATGCTCATCAGTGAGAATGAAAATAGGCATTGAGCTCAGTGCCACTGGGACACACCTGGTCGAGCTCCTGATTTGTTTTTCTTCCTTCAGGGACAAAAAGTCAATTCAATACTTATGAGTAACAGAGAAGCAACATAATAAAGTCATTATAAATTTGATATATTGGGAAGAATTTGTGCAAAATTAATGTCAGAGAAAATGTGAAGTGATGGCTCAGAATTTTTCTCTCTACCTTAAATGATGTTCCCTTAGCATTTCTTGGGATGTAGCACCTGGGGCAGCTCCTGACCAAATAAAAATCCAATTGCCTGAGAAGAGCACAGACAGAGTCTAGTATTTCAGAATGGTTTGAAGAACTTCAGACTGGGTTCAGTTCTTATTTTTGCAAAGCCAAAATGTCAAATGTGCCTCCTCTCCATATTGGCCTATCTGAAATCTGTATCTAACTCTTCATTTCTGTGATCCAGGTACTGTATTCATTCACTTTGCTGATTAGATTGGAAAGACACATGCATCTGAACTGAAGTCACAGCATTGTTGTGTGTTTGCAGATAAAAATTCTGAGGACTGTTTTGTATCTTAAATTTAGGTTTGAAGTAATCTCTATTCTGAAAGAGGTGGGGCAGGGAAAGTTTTTGAGGTCAAAAGGAAAATGTAGCAATACTGATGTAACTGCAGCCTGGTCCCTTCTCTTCCATTTTCATACCATAAGGTTTAGATGAATGGCACGTTGAAAGCCAGAGAAAACACCTATTTGCAAAAGACAGCGTTTTAAAGATATGAAAGCTTATCCCACATTCAGTACAGTTTGATATGAATTAAGACAGTGTAAAATCACTGACCTTCAGAAGATAACTGTACTCTGCTCTCAATGTTACTGACAAAGTAACTTGGAGCTTGCTGCAAAAGAAGATATATCTTTATTAACAATGCATACTCATATTTGCAGGGAAAAAAGTACAGTTCACCACAGAAAAATGGTCACAATTTCCCAAAGAAGCACATTTCAAAGTATCACCTTCAAGACCCAAAAACCAACTCTTCTGGATGTATTTTTCTTTTCCAAATCTCAGCTACATCACAAGTTCTGCTCAGTTCACTGACACAGGACCATGCAGGTGTCATTTTAAACTAACTGCTCAGACTGGACATTTGTGAGATATTTGTGATAACCAAAAGTAGGAAGGAGTTCAATAAATAGTGTACATTGCAAATTAACAGGCATGACATAAGGCCATTTTACTTCTATTCACTTTCATGCTGAGCCCCTACAGTGCTCTCCTGAGTAATCCTGCACTGAATCCAGCCGTGCTGCCCTGCAGTCTCCCTGCCTGTGGGACCCATCCCACACCTTCAAGAAGTTCTGGGGATCCTTGGAGCCACCATGTTTTTATGGACAGATGCCCTTCCCGTGAGCTCACTGCACAGAGCAGCAGCACTTCTGTGGCCATCACTGGTTTGAGCTGGGAGAGGTCAACAACAAGCTGAGAGCCAGGAGCTCATTTCATGCTTGTACCACTCATTTCCTATTTTGTCTGCCAACCATGGTCTCTACAAACCAGAAAACAACAACCTGGATGTGTAGGGGAGAAATAACTGTTCTTTCCACCCTGCTGACAGTGTTGGTTCTGGCTGGCTTGTTTTCATATGCCTGCAGACTGCTGACATGGAAAGCACCTGGTACAACACAGAGCAAAATTTCCAGCCAGGTGTCCTGCCTGCTTTTGCCCTGAAACTGTGGTGCAGCCTGAATACTGGCCTGCCTTGGTCTATGACAAAGCGAGAGCCAACCCTGGGAACTTCTCTCTGGTAGCAGTGTTGGAACATAATGTGAGTCTATGTGCAGCAGCCCTACTGCTCAGCTGAATTCAGCTGTGAGCACACAGGGACTGGTGAGTGCAGCTGGTGCATAAATGGCAGCAGACTTAAATGTCTCCTGTGCATCCAGTTTAAAAACTGGTAGGATGGAGTAGGAAAATTTAAGAAAGAAATACACCAGAGAAGAGGTTCTCAGCATTATTCCAACTTCGAGGCACAAATAGGTTAAATATGACCATTTTTGGGAGGTAGCACTATGTTCTGTTTAGCCACAGTTAAAAACTTTGCTTGGGGAAAACACCTGCTCCTACTTCACTTCTTGTGGGTGGGTTACACAACTTCTTTATTTCAAGCTCTCCTGGAGGTCCTGGCAGTGGTGAGCACTGAACCAGCCACTCTCCTCTGCCACCCCTGACCCAGCTCCTCTCACATGGGGACAGACAGAAGTGCCACTGCTGCAGCACTCCTGGTTCAAAGCACTGAGGGAGGCTGTGGGGGCCAAACACATAAAAACCAGCAGCAGCATGATTTCTTATTAACCCGAATTTCAAAGCAGTCCAAGCCGAGCCCTGCTGTGCTCTTGAGGCTTATCTTTAAGTGAAGGGCAAGTTGTCTAATCCTGTGCCAAACCCACCCTTTTCAGGGCAAGACAGGTCAAGCACCTCCTAAAGGTTACATGATTCTCCTTAGCAGTGCTGCAAGCTGGGGCTTTCATGGGTACTTGAATCCCCAGCCTTTCTCTAAGGATTCTTGGAACACCAAAATGCTCCCCTTGATGCAGGAAGCACACATTTAAAGCAAATACTCGTGGTCTGAACTGAGCCTTTGTTTAAAAACAGCTCCTTCATTTTTTACCTCACTTTTCCTCTGTAGCTTTTAGAAAACTTTTTGCCATAAACTAAAATTAAGAGGATTATTAATTGAAATATTGTCTCTGTTCAAGAATTAACGACTCACGTGTGGTATAATTTGCTGTTCCCTCTTGGACTGCCTATGAAAATTACTAAGCATTTGTACTTTTCTTAATTATCTCTAATTTGAGCTTGGAGCCAGGCTGTAAGATTGACACTTTGGCTTGATTAATTGAAAGGCTTGGATCAGCAGTGATGGCCAAATGCAGCTCTGGAGCTCCAGGACATGGCCTTGATGCACATTACACTCATCAGAATTTGATGGGATCCAACCCTGTATTCCTCCCTGCCCATTAATCACTTTATACACAATATTAACTTCTGTCTTTAGCCCTGCTGGCATCACCACCCAGCCCTTAGAGCCTCCAAAAAAATGTGTGAATTCCTGAGGAAGCAAGAGGATGGCTGCACTCAGGGATTTTCTCCTGTGGCTATAACAGCTGTAGCACTCTTGGTATCTTGTGTTAAAGCCTCACCCACATGTAATGTGGCCCCAGTGGGACCATGGTATCAACAGACACAATGTCAAAAAGAAAACTCATTTTCCCACTGTGCAAGCAGGACCTCCCATCTTGTCCAAGTTTCTGTGCCTATTTGGAGGTCTCCCAGGTGTGGTGCATTTCAAATTGCATATTTACAATTTTGTTGTTGGAGTTCACTTGTTTGGAATTTTCCACTCAGAAATTAGATGAAATGAGGCTCCTTCAGCTGTGGATGTGTCGTGGCTCCTGGGCACTTCAAACTGCACAGGCTGTCCTTTGAATTTAACAACCCCAGCTGGCTTTTATGGGAAGCAAGTGACTAAGAGCAGCTTGAGAGTGAGTCAGAGCTCCGGGCACACACACATTGTTCCTGCACAGGGACTCCAGTCCCAAACCCTTTCCCTCTGTACCACTCCAATGCAAACAGCAGACCTGACACTTAACTATGTAAAAAAGAGACTCAGATTTTGCTTGAGGCTATTTGTAGACTTTGTGTTGCTTGATGGGGAGCTTTAACACTGCTCTCTAGCACTTTCTGTCCAAGGATGGCAAAGCACCATGCTTACCCTTCACTGCAGGTATGAACCTTTCCAAACTTAAAGTTCAAACAAACAAGGCCTGCTTTGAGCAGGATGTTGGACCAGGTGGTCTCCAAAGGCCTTTTTTAACCTGAACTAATCTGTGGTTCTACCCCTTTAGTAAGGACAGGAGTAATAGTGCCTTATATACAGGTGGAAAACAAGCCTGGAGAGAGATGAAATGGGTCAAAGGGAATCTAAGTTATAGCTCCCCAGTCCTAAACACTCCTTCCCTCTACATGCAACAATTACCTTTACAAAGGTGAAGTTCACAAATCCTCCACTGAAAGTTAAGTTCAGCTGAGACTGCACCATCCCACAGCTTCCAGATGTCTGTGTCGCATTGGGGTTGACAATCACAGACTCCATCTGCTCCTGTAGAGAGAAGAGACATTGCAGGGCTGCTGATGAAGAGAAGGGGAACTTTGTAGGAACACACAGAGATTTACATCTGCTTTGTTTTTCCCCCCCCAGACAGGCTCTGTGTGGCTGAATGAACAGGCCAGTGATGGTGGCAGCCAAACTGCTGCCTGCCAGGGTCATTCCCCACTCGTAAACCAGCACTGGTGGTTGTCTGACACATGAGCTGTGAAAATATGAAAATATTTGGTTTCTGTTCATTCAGTGGACTGATACGATTCAGAGCAGCATCAGATGAGTACAAATGGTAATTTATAAGGAGGGAGCAGTGGAAACTTGTGCCTGAAGGCAGAGGAAAGATGAAGACAGAAGCAGGCAGGGGTTAGTTTGGCTTCATGCTTTGCTCCACATATCACCCCGACCTCCTCATTAGGTCCTGCACATCATCTTTAGCATCTAACAACCCATACTGCAGTCTGAAAGGAGAGCTCTGCAGCCCTGAATGGAGCTTTGCTCTTTCAGTCTCATCTCAAACACACCTTATGTTATTATAAACATGTCGCTGTGGTCTGCTGAGATTAGGAATCATGCTCCCTACCTGGCTTCTGCCACGATGAGGGATGAAAATTACTTTTACTGACATTAGATACTCATCTCACCTTAGAAATATCCAGACTCCAAACAAGAATATTTGGATTTGTAATGGGGATGGCTCAAGGCATATGAACTCCAGAGCCTGAGGATGTAACCCCACATATTGTATTAATGGAGGCTACTAAACCACAAGTCTGAGGGACATAATCACCATTTCAGGTTGTATGACACCTTTTGCTGAATCATTCTCAGCGCATCATTTCTAGGAGAGGGTACCAGCTCCCCAGGATCTGGAAGTTTCTGTGTTCCTAAAATCTCAGTGCATCAGCATCAAGACAACCCAATTCTGATTCCCAGTCTGTGAACTGGCAATTTCTTGCTTTCATTATAACTCACAATGTCAAGCCCTTCACTAAAGTCAGTTCAGATTTTAACTAGTCTCCCATTCTAAGAAACACAAATAATGTTTCAGGCTGATCTACTGCTCTAGTATTGGTTCCACATCACTGAAATCAGAAAGCACATGTATGTCCCCCTAGCATCATCATACAAACCAAATTTCAGCAGCTGAGATGCTGTGGCACATGAAGGGCTTTACTGGCAGCAAGCCACTTATTTTAATCATAGAACTAACTTCTGAAAATGCCTTGGAAAGAAGAATAAATTCCAGCTAATGAAGAAACAGTCATTACAAAGCTCAGCTCCCACCTCACCTTTTGTGTATTTTGACCCATCAGTTGCAGACCCATGACTGCTTTGATGCAGGTCCTGTTCCCACTGGAAATGGTGTATGTGCCAGTGGGGATGGGAGAAGGCCGTGGGGCAGGAGTGGGTCTCACTGTCACCACAGTAGATGGGATGGCTGTTTGTGTCCCTGGACGGGCGGTTGTTGTGCTGGTCATGGCTGTGGCTGTTGAGTTTCTGGTCGCTGTTGTTTGTTTTCCTGACTGTGTGGTGGCTTTGACCGTCTGCATGGTGGCTGTAGAGGTGGTGGCAGCAGCTGTCACTTGAGTATTTGCTGTTGTGTGGTTTAGGGATGCGTTGGTGGCTGTCATTGCTGTGCTCGTGTGTGCGGAGGACACAGAGGGGGTGGTTGTGTTCTTCCCTGCAGGTGTGACCCTGTGCATGGCCTGGGTTGTGGCCTGGCCAGCTGCACTGGTGTTGTCTGCTGGTGTCGTGGTGGTGATGGGTGTTCCAGCTCCTGCCTGGGCTGTCGTGTGCTGGCCTAGAGCTGCTGTTTCCTGGTGCTGCTCTGTTGTCTGCACAGTTGTTCCGTGGCTCGTGGGTGTTGTTTCAAGAGAGACTGTGCTGTTAAAGTGAACTGTGGTGCTTCGATGGGGTGAGGAATGATAAAGGGAAAGTGGCTGAGCAGAAGTAGCCATATGGTGGAAGGACGTGGTTTCTGGAGACAGTTCAACCCTCGAGGCCACTTCAGCAAGGCAGGAGGAAAATGCTGCAAAGAAACTAAAGTCAGTAGTCTGGAAACCTTTACCTTTAACACTTCTGTTGATCCCCACAACAAAACTGCACTGTTTTGTTATCAAATGGGTGATGTGACATGATTTTATTCTTCATTTGGCTCCAGTCATGACAGGAGAGTGAAGGCAGACAGCCTGTAAGACTATCCATAACTCGTCACCACTCCCCCAAGTTTCACACCTCTGAATATACCCATTGCAGTGGCAGCACATTGGCTCCCAGCTCTCCACACACTGAAGAAGCCAGAGGACACCAGAGGTGTGAGCAGACCGTGCACAATCCTCAGGCAGCACAAGAGTTCCCTGCAGGCAGTAGTAAAGCAGGATTTGCTGGAAGTAAATTATTGAGGTCTAAGGAAGATGAAGAGGGTGTAACAGGCAAAGGGGTTGTTGGTTACTTACCAACAAAGTAAAGGGAGAGGGAAGGTGCATGTGAAGGCAGAGCAATGGTCTTACAGTGATTCGCAATAGTCTGGGAAACCAGTCTGGGACACAGGGAAATTCCAGATATTTATTTATGGTTTTGTTGTAGCCATGTCAGCTTGAACCCTGAAGCCCTTCCTCCTGGAAGAACCCACAGAAACACCATCCCTCTTAGTGATAGGCTTTCAGCAATGAGGAACAATTTCAGGGTACAGCATCCAGGGGCATTTTGGACCACACTAGAAAATAGTCACAGCACTAAAATTACACTTCCATCTAATAACATTTACAGGAAAATGTCCCTTGCTGAAGTGAAAAAAAAAAATCTGGCTCCTAAATATAAATAAGGAAGTGAACAAAAAATGGGAAAGTACATTGTAGAATAGAAGAATGTCACAACTCTTCTGCTTGAATCTTTGATTGTGAGCATGCAACAAGACTCTGGAAAGGCAAGGTCAAGCTAAAAGAAAACATAACTCAATGACATATTCCTTGATGTGCATGGAGCTTCAGCTGTTGTTAAATGCTTTACTGCCTAAATTAGCTGGAGGACAGAGATGCATTCTAGTTTGGAGACCAAAGGGACCCAGAAGTCCAAGACAGGCCATATTCCTGGCAGTACAGCTCCACAGGATGCCACAGCATGTTGTCTGAGTTTATTGTACACTGGATCTTTCAAAGAAACTTCTCATGAACTGGTGTCAAAGTTTGTGGCAGGCAGGTTGCTGAGATTTGGCTTTTGAAAAAGGTTAAGGCCAAAAGCACATTGAGAGTGAAAATTGCTGAAATCTCAAAGGTTCTTCCTTTTATTTATTTTCATTCATCATGAAGAACAGAGCTCTTCAATAATAGGTGAATTCACAAAATCTCACCATTTTATGAGACATATAAACTAAATAAGAATAATAAACTCTATTGGGTTTTGAATCAAATTTAAGACAAAAGTCAAAGAAACAAGAGCAGATGTATAGATCTTAATCCACACTACAATTTTCCCTAAAAAATGGCTATGACTGAGAAGAGCAGAAGTGCATATACTCATATTCCTAAAACTTGTGCTGTACAGGATACACTTGACTGTGAGTGTAGCTTGTTACCATCAAAGAAGTGCAATTTGAGACAGTCGAAAAACCTCAAAAAATATTGTGATTTTTATCAAAATGAACATAAAAATGCGTAATTAATATGATACTTTAGTTCATTTTCTCACTTTCCTCTAGACTTTACCACAGAGCTGAAAAGCAGATAACTGATTTCCTCTGTGTGCCAGTGGAAAGTCAGAGCAGTTGCCGTAAACCAACTCTGGGTAGGTGCATCTGAGTGTATCAGCATGATAAAAACAAGAAAGAAGAAGTTGCAATTTTCACTCTTTCTTCCCCATAAGACTGTGAAACAACCCATATTTAAATTTACACAAGTCTTAAATAAAGTCAGTACTTATTAGTTGTTAGTTCATAGGTTGGTTTTGATTACTGACCAGATAACACTTTACAGATGTGGAGAGAAATATTATTTAACTGACATTGGAATACCACCCATAGCTTTTAAATGAAACTTTGTTATCCCCAAAAGGTAATTTCAACCAAACAATTTTTCATTATTCAGCCTGACAGGGTCACTGAGGGGTAAAGCCAGAAATGTCTTTGGGGTGGCCCGTGGCTCTTGCTCAATGGGTGACCTACCAGACCACTCCTCTGGGCTCTCCCAAGTATTTTGGAATTTCTGTCAGTGCATGGCCATGCTGCTAAACCCCTTGGCTTGGACTGTCTTCTCAGAAGGCATTTGGCCATAGGAGCTCCCAGGGATGGGTAAGGATTGCTCTCCGTTTGCACCTCATGGTCTTGGCTCTTTTCTGGTGGCTGTTGGAGGTAGGTCAGTAGCTCTGCTGTGTGAGGGGGAGGTGGGCACATGGGGTCCTTGACCTGCCCTCCAGCTAAGGCCAAGAAGGCTTCCCTGTGTCTCCCTCAGCACTGCCACGTTCCTCTTGGGGAGCTTGCACAGTTCGGCAAAGGAGCCGCCTGCAGAGCTCTCACCACCACAGCCTCTCCCATGGCTCTGCCACAAAATGGGAACAGAACAAATGCTGCAGAACAACAAGAAATGGCAGCTCTGCACCCCACCTGCCCCCCCGTTAGTCTTCTTTTTTTTTCCTCCCATGAAGCCAACTCAAAACTTCATACAAGCAACATTTTGAGGGCTGCAAGAGTCCAGGGGTGTATCTTCCTAAAGAAAGCAGCTGCAATCCCTCATCTTACTTCAGCATCAAAGCTGTATGTCACACATGCTGAGGGCTGTGTTTGAGTCCAGGCAGCCTCCATGCAAAGCTCCCGAACAAAACTCTCAGAAACCGATCAGGGCAGGTCTCAGAAATTCACTGTTCTCAGTCTGAGCCTGGAGATCCCGTTTTCATGCTTTGGTGACACGTTTCAGTCATAAGAAATGTCACCGCTCTGCTCCCAGGCATTATGGTGGGAAGGGCAGTGCTCAGTGCCATGATTTGGCTGTGACATTTCTCAGCTTGCCATCTTGCAACAGGGTGGGTGATAGAAGCTCTTACTGAGGATTTTTTCCCCTTTTCATCTAACCACACTCATGCTGTTCAGCTGCCCAGTGGGTTTGTTCTGCTTTCTGCTGCCAGAAGAAATGCTCATGTTTAGCTGACTGATTCCATGTGGACACAAAACCTGACCCAGCTCCTGTAATCACTGAAAACACTCTCACCATCTCTGGCTCCTTTGGTTTGCTTTGAGGAATTGGAAAAGCACCAAGATTTTCTGAGAGGTTTCAGTACTGTCATAGCTTCCCACCCATCTGACCTTTATTCCTTAAACTCTAATTATGTTTAATTCCCTGTCTGCACAGGAAGACTTGGCTTTGGGACTTTAATAAAACATCACAACAAATCATTAAAGGAAAGATCAAAAATGGATAAGGAGTTGAGGAAACAAGTTCTTTCTGGTCAAAAGTGGTTGCTGACCACTGAGTTATTAGTGTTACTTCTCAGTCTGATCTTGCCCTCCTTTCATATGTATGTTTTGGGGCTATTTCAGCAGACTCTGGCTATGAAGCAGGCGTGGGAATGCAGAGAGATACAGCAGGAGCTGCACACGGTCAAGTCCCTGGGCAGTTTCCCCGTTCATGCACTGGGAGGAGGACGGGGATTGTTACTGGTGTGATCCCTGTGTGCCGATGGCAAAACCCACCACAGAAGTGCAGTGTCCCAACAGCGAGCTCAAACCCCCTCAGCCATTACACAGATTAAATCACGCTCTGTCCTTCCTCACAGAGCAAATTTTGTACTGCTGCAGGCGTTGAGGGGTGACTTCAAGCACTGGGAGATGTCCTTGATCTGGCTGGCTCCACAGATTTTCACAGAGCAGCATTAAGGGTCAAACAGTGACTCTGATGTGGTTTGTCATTAAGTTAAACCCCAGCCTGTGGGCTCTCCAAGCCCCCTGCCTCACTCCTGCTTTCCTGATCCTGCTTCTGCATCTTGCAATGCAAATGAATTAATGACTAGAGCAATGCTTCCTAAGTTTTTTCTTTCCTGCTTGTCTCACTCAAGATTTTCAGTCAGTTCTGCTGTCTGGAAACTATTTTTAATTAAGAAAAGCAAGGCCAAAAAACTCTGCTTCTCACACTACTTTAAGCTGACTCCTTCACAGAGTTTATGTCACCACAGAGTGCAAGGAAAAATACAGAGGAAAACATCCAACTAAATCTATACCAGCTGCAATTCACTGTACTTATGGTTATTTCTCAGCAGTGAGACTTCACTAAAAGCACCCTTAGTGCTAGCAACAAAACTGTTCAAAGTTTTCAGTCTTTTAGGTGCTGTCCTGACGGCCAGGAAACAGAACTGGCATAATCTGTCTGATTTCTCAGATAGAAATGGAGATGTTACTCACCACAGCCGAAGGTCAGCAGGATGAGCTGCCATGCACTCCTCCCCATGGCCAGCACGGCTGCAGGTGGGAGAGATGCTGCTTCTCACCTTGGAGCAGGCAGAGAGAAAATCAAGATTTCCTGGGGACTGAAAAGTTTCACTTGATGCAGGGAGTGCTCAGTCACATGGCTGGGAAGGAGGTGGAGAGGGAGGGGGAGGCCAGTGCTTCTTGTCTGTAAACTACCACAGAAGGAAATAAATGATGGTTAGGAAAGAAAGCGAAAACAGAAGTGAGCGCTGGGCTGGCTGGGGGGGATACAGGCTCCCACTCTGCAGCTGAGACGTGAGGCTCTGCAAGGCCAGGTCAAAAGATCCCTCCAGTTCTGATAACCTGGTGCAGACTGCACCAGCAGAGGGTCACAGCTTGTAAATCAGTACCTCCCCTGTAGTCTGTAAAAAAGTATTTTTCTTTAGGGCCACACTCCTTTTATGTTAAGGCACAGAAGGGAGAGGTGTGACCTCAAGCCGTCTCTACAGAGCACCTGCTAAGAGCGAGACAGGGCAGAGCAGAGCCCCAGATGGGCTCTTGTCTCAGGTGGGGACCGTCAGCAGCCTTTGCTGGCTCCAAGGCCTGGGCTTGTGGAAGGTGCATCAGCTGGGCTCACCCTTAGTGATGTATCCAAACACATTCCTCAGCAAATGGCAACACCTCACCTCTGTCCCACGAAGTGCCTCCTGCAGACCACGCCAGGCTGGGGCAGGAGCTGCACGGGCAGGTCCCGGCCTGCCGAGCCGCACACCAGGGATCTGCAACAGGAGAGCGTCGCTCCTGCTCACCCCCACGGCTGCATTCCCAGCCCTGGGCTGCTGCCATGGGGACTGCTGGGTGGGGGGGACAAAGGCATCTGCTGTGCTCCTAATTTCTCTTTTTCTCATACCAATACTGCACTGCAATAGCATGATAGGGCCAATGACTTGAAAATTCAAGTGAGGTGAAGTTTGCTCCCAGAAATCTGGAAGCTGGCTGAAATTAGTCCCAGTTTATCTTGCTCAATTTGCATTGTGTTTCTGCATTCTTATTTTTACCTGTTTGCCTTTCTGCATGATCCACAGCCTGTATTGGGGTCAATTACTGCTCCCTAATAAACACTGGTAGCCAAAGGTATGCAGATATCTCGGGGGTAACTATAATAAAGCCATCCTATAACTTCCTCTGAGCTATGTGAACTTACCCAAAAAGTCCTAGGGATTCAGGAACATGACTAAAGGAGATGGGTAAAGGGAAAAAAAAATCAAAGACTGTGCCTTTTGTGTCATGTGTTGGGCAAATTAAAGTCATACTGAACAGGTATGAGGATTTTTTCAGCTGTGATGGTGTGCCTTTACTAATATGCATTTATTTTGAATAGGAAAAACCTCATTTGACTTGTTGCTTCATATAGAGACATCAACCACAGGGTTTTGTACTAGTTATAATTTTTATAAATTTCAAACAAAGTGTGGTTCTACACAGGTCAGAACGGCCTAATTACAGGAAGTTCATTTGCACACTTTTTTCTTGTAATAAATTCATACATTCTGTCTTGACTGGAAAAAAGGACAGGTAATTCTGTGCTCTTTCCCTGTCTGATTATCTCTCATCAGTCACAATATACAAATACATCATTATCAACACCATGGAAATCATGTAAGAAAAACAAACTGTACCAATTCTCAGCTGGGGAGAGGAAATCTTAGCAGCTATTTCAGCTCCAGCTGCAAGAAGAAATACACATTTTGGCTCTTTTTTCTTCTTATTCTTATATATTTCTAATCATATATATATTTGAAGTCTTTGAGTATATTTTTGGAAAGGAAGCACATGGCCTTTCTCATACCCAATCCTGTTTGAAATATCAAGAGTCTAAGAAAATCATAGATAATAAAATGGCTTTTCATAAGACACACACACACACAGCTTTGCTGTCACTGGCAAGAAGAGCCAGAGCTCAGACGTGGTGGTTTGGCTGCAGCTGTTTATGATCAGGACAACGACCATTGGTGTGATTCTCCACCCTGTGGGGCTCAAGGTGAGAGGAAAGGATGAGCCCTGATTAAATGTTAACCTGGTTTACTAAAATCAAGACTTGTGTGTCATGGCAACTGCCCGGCTCTTTGCCGCTGGTGAGGAAGGACTGTGCTGCCCACCTGCAGCTGCCTGAGCAGAGGGCAGTTCTGAGGATGTGAAGTTCCTGCAAGTTTCACAGAAGAGAGCAGAGCAGAGGGGACCCTGAGCCCGGAGGGCAGGGCTCACCAGCACAGCCCCAGAGAGCAGAGCAGGCAGCTGGCACAGACTCACTGGTCCAGCAGCAAGGGCACTGCTCAGCCACAAGTGCTGCTACAGCCCAGATTTACCTGGGATCTTGTGTCTTCTACAACCAAAACTTAGTGGCAGCTGTTACTTTTAAATTACTTTCTGGTCACTATATAATCTCCAAACAACACTGAAATGAAATCCATATTTGAAAACTATGATTTTTAGGTGTGTCTACCTGAAAAGGATAGTGTCAAAGGCCTACATACAAAGTGTACTTTAACATAGGCATTAGTCTTGCTGGACATTACCAAATCATAATCTAGACTGTACATGGAAAGCCATTCCCTTAATTATCACCTTGCTTGACAGAAATACACTAATTAAAAGACTATCCTGTCTACCCTTTAAAAACAAAACAAAACAAAAAGTCATCAAACCCCATTTTGTCTCATCAGCAAAGCCAGAGGGTTGCTTTTTATGGGCTGCTCCTGGACTTGTCAGCAGCCTGATCTGTCCCTGAACTTTGTTCTTTCTCAAATCAAACCCTGTCTCCCTGACACAGGGCCTGGTCACTGCCCAGCAGCAGCTGCCAGGGCTGCTGTGTGCTCTGGGTTTGGAACGTGGAGACAGAAACAAGGAGCTGCCTCTGGCTCACCAGCACTGCTGGAGGGTTAAAGACACAACAGTTGTGGGCTCCCTGCTCAGGTTCAGTGTGTCTGAGTAGCTGTGGCACAGTCAGCTCCCAAGGAGCAGAGTGCTGTGCCACTGCTGAGTGGCAGTGGGGCAGAGAGTTACCTGTCATCCTCAGGACACTTGTGGAGCAGGAGTGATTCAAACTTTGGTCTAGCAGGATAAAACATTTTTTTAGGGGGAAAAAAATGTTTTCAAAAGCAGAGTAGGGGAGAATTGTGATAATCCAGCCCATACCTTTGCAGTTGTCACAATGAGATGGTGAGCTGGGAGAGCAGACATTTCATCAGCAATCCTCTTCCCTGCTCCAGCTCTAGGCTGCTCCACAGGGTGCTGCCACTGGCACTCATGGAGGGCACAGTGGGACATATGGGGTTCAAAGCTTCGCTTTCCCCTGAAGGGTCCCCAGTTTTTGCATACATGGTAAAATTTAGCATCATAATTCAACAGGAGGGAAATTCAATAGCTCCCATTTTACAGGAGGGTATTGCAGGGATATAGGGGATATAGGACTTGCACACTGTCACCCTGCTCACAGCAGAGGTAGGAAAGGGACTGGCAGTATCTGATTTCTCATCCTCAGATCAAACAGAGACTTCCCACTGCCATTTCACCATAAGAATGAGATTCCTCAAAAAGAAAACTCCAAAGTGCAGGTTTTCATCATTCCATCTCTCAGCAATGTCACAAATCTTCATTTTGGCAGTTTCATATACCCAGGATAACCCTTCCCCATCTCTCTCTCCCTCACACAAAAGCTTACTGTACTTATTAACATGCAATCAATGCTCCCTACCCTTCCCTCTCCTATGCTTAGGGCAGGAGTAGACAGCAGCACTGAAAAAATTACTGAAACCAGAATGGACTCATTTTAGGGAGAGAATAAAGGAATTGCACTACAAGAAAACATCACCACATGTTTCATTCCTGAAAGGAATGAATTCTTCCCTTAAGATGCTGAGAACTACTGTAGACCAAGAGGATTCATGTTCCTGAGAGCCTATGTGTCATTTCTGAGGTAAATGACCAGCACAAAACAGGTAAGCTCCACTCTCTATAGGACAAAATCATTTTCCAAAAAGATACAGAACTCTCAGGTCCTTTCGACATGAACGGAAAATGTCCAAAATCACAGGGATCAGATATGGAGGGTTAGAAGAGCCATGGGAATTAATCACCACAGTGCAAATCATAATCAAGCAATGGCTTCACAGGCAAAAAAAAAATCTGAATAAGCCTTTACCTACTCGAATGGGACTATCTACCTGTGTCACAGCTATCCTGACTCACACACTAAGATATTTGCAACACCAGCCTCCACTGAGACAAAAAGAAAAACATTCAGGTCCCTGCAAAGGTGATAGCAAAGGTGAGACAGACACCTACTGTTTTGCTCAGAGCCTCAGTTAGTAAAGAGTGGGTTTTGGTTTTGCTTCATCTCCATTTTCAGTGCTTTTGTCCCCTTTGTTATTTACATAAAGCACCACTGAGGGTTCAACAAAACATCCCTAAGAGTGAAAGCCACTCACTCACTCTTGAGCATCTTCTAGGGTCATTTTTACCAGATTGATCTTTGCCTGTTTGCAAACCTACTCAATACTTATCTTTACTACAGTATTAGCAGCTTTTGTGGGACCTAAGACCCAATTACCATCAAAATGCCTTCATGCCTTAACAGCTGCTCTAAATGAGCTAATGGCTTGTATAGGAATAACAACATCTCTAATCACTTCATACTATACATTACATCCTTATGTGGCAGAGATTTGGTACAGTCCTTTAATCAAATGTCCTGGAAAGAAGTATTTAACAACAACACTTTATCCACTCTAACGCTCACTGCCTATTTGCAATGCTTAAGTATATTCCAAATGGGGGGTGAAATGTATCTACTCATAGCCCAGCACACAAGGAAAGCATGCAGTCTACTCAAACATGTGACAGTAAATGGCATTCAATTGAATTCTTGGCACCAAATGCAAAGAGTTGTGATCCAGCAACCAGGACTGCAGAGGGGGCAGAGGAATGACTTAGGTTGTAAAAACAGTTCAAAATGTTCTTTGTCACAGTAGCTGTTACACATCTTTACTTCCCTGCTAAGCCCTGCACCTCCGTGTCATAGCCAGGAGCTGGCACCTGCATCATTCCAAGCTGTGGAATGCTGTGCGCAGCAGTGCCATCGCGAGGGAGTCACGTCACTGCTGCACGGAGCCTCTCTGATGGTCCCAGTCAGAAGGTTCCTTTCCCCAGCCACCCTAAAATTGGATGTTTTTGGTGTTGACCATAGCAAAAAGGGCACGTTTGTGATGACGTATCAGCTGGAATTAAGGAGGACAGGGAAGGCACAGCCAGAGGCAAGCAAATGGAAAAACGTCCAGGTGAGCAAGAACTCGTAACCATCCCGTGCCCTGTGCAGTGACGTGGTGCTCAAGCAAAGTTGCCAAAAGGTGCGTGCATAGAAACTCTTCAGCTCTGCTGTCGACCTAATTTAGGCCACATCTTCTGAAACAGTTTGATAACCAATGCAAGAAGCATTTTTCTCCTCTAACACTGAAGGTAGGTTTGATGTTTTCTGGATGTTTAATGCTCCTTTCAACTTTGTTTTTTCCAGCTTGCCAGGTGGACAGCACAGTTCTCATCTGTTCATGGTGATAAAGTTTTAGTGAATTGTGAACCTCAGAGCTTGTGAGAAAGGCAACTTTGATCCAGTGTCCACCCAAAATAAAGACAGATGGATGGGGTCCTGAGGAAGGCTGGTCCTGCTGTTCAGCTGCCAGCCCTCTGTTCTGCTGGGAAGCTTTTGGCCACCTCACTTTCCTTTGTGTCTGACTCTACTGAGGCTGTACTGCAGGAATCGTTGTACATGTCTGAAAAGGAGGACATGGGCATTGTCACTACAATATGTCTATAGGATTTTCCATCTACAGTCTTGAGGTTCTTTGTTAAAAGCCTGAAATGAAATAAAACACAAATAATCACAATTCCACTGTTCTCCTAATTCCTTCACTAAAGGCAAGGGAGGCTCTTTTGGCATATAATGAACTGTAATGTGTGTGTGGTTTTGTTTTTCTTTTGAAGCATTAGACATGCCAAAGAAATGAGAGCTATAGTTGGGCACTGAGGGTGAAGACAGAACTGACCTGCTGTGGAGGTGAAGGAGCAGCACTAAACTCCCCTTAAACCACAGCAAAGAATCCTGAGGTTTAAAAAGGTTTCCTCCACTTTGACAAACTGACCAAAGGAAAAAAAAAATCAAGAGAGACCAGTAACTCAGAATAAAGTGCTGGTAACTCTCTTTCGCAGGTCCCCAGGGAATGGCTCTGCCAGATTTTGTTGTCCTCTGTTACCAGAAGACAAGCAGGACACATTTTGGTAAATTATAT